TGCATTTTGTGCGAAAATGTATTAATGTAACTATATGCATAATAAAGAACAAAGAAATGAGTGTATTTGAAATAAAGTGAAATGAGAATAACAACTCCCTTTTTATAAGGAACAAAATAATACTATATGCACAAATTAGTATACTAACTAATGTACCAATTGATGATGTGACATAATTTAAGAGATTTTTGATATTTATAATTTGTATAATGAATGGGGTCAATAATAATGTCATAACTAGTGTTTGTACACTAGTTAGTACACTAATTGGAGCATGTAGCATCATCGTAAAAAATAATATATTTTTTTATGATCATTTAATTTTTAATCAAAACGCTCACTTTTGTTGTCATAATTTTAAAAATACCGTTAATATATTATTTTAGGGCAAAACACCAATAAATTCCAAAATTCAATTTGTTGGACCATTTAATCCTACCTTTTATTTTGTAGACTGATAAGTCCCAGTTGAATGTTAATGATGTAGAAACCCATGTAAGTAACACGTGGCTTGTCTTTAGTAGAGGGAAAATATGAGTTTTTGCTGATGTTGTAGTTACCAAAATGCCCAAAAGCATATTATAGCATTTTTATGTTTTCTCTCCATCCCAAACAAAATGGTCGAGATGTAATGAAAACTTCTGGGTTTCCATCCCAATGTTAGTGATTGTGATCCTCATCCTGTGTGATTGAATATTCACATTTGGCAACGTTGACCATTCAATATACAATCCCAATGTTGTAACCCAACCCACAAAAACCCTAGAAAATTAAAAAACCCCTTGTTCAGCGTTAACATTTGCAGAGGCAATTCGCTATTCTTGACCTGTGATTTTCATCGATCCCATAACATCGGCGAGCTAACATCATCGGTGAGTCGGTGTTGTCGTAGGTGCTGTTGTGCGATGACAATAGGTATGTGAATTACTTTGATGTTGATTTGAATGTTTGTGGCTTAGAACATCACAGGGTTGATGTTTGACACCAATGATATTTTGGGTTTCGAAGTCATATTGTGGGTTGGAGGGTCGAATTGTTCTAGTTTTTGAAGATGTTATTTTGTTCCGAAATTGACTATAATAAACGAATCACCCAAGACATGAATGTCATGAGAAGACGATGTTGGAACCCCCATTCGTCGAACAATCTTAAGTATGTTCCAAATACAACATCATACACCCATTGATCTAACAAACACCACAAATCGCGATTCGCTATGAGAAATGAGAGTTCTTGACCTGTGATTCTCATCGATCCTATAACATTGGCGAGCGAACATCATCTGTGGCCATGTTGTTTTGTGATGTTCCAGTATTGTGTTTGTTGCTGATGTTGATGATGTCGTTAATGTTGCCGATGTTGATGATGTTGTTTTGTGATGTTCCAGTACTATGACCATGTTGTTTTGGGATGTCTCAAAATATAACTTTATAAACCAAACACCAATCTGGGAATGGTGAAACAACTTCCAAAAGAGTCTACGAAATCCCCTCATACAAAATAGTATTGTTTCAACATCCCTTAAATACACACACCATGACAAAATCAAAATGAAATCACAATATAGGCAAAAATATAAACTCCATATACAATATATTAAAAACATATATCATACCAAAAATAAAAGGATTAAATGATTTAAGAAAAAACACTTAGAACTAACTAGATCAACATTTATCAAAATGAGATTTATGAATAATTTTTTCATTATTTTAAATACATTTTCCATATGACCGTTTGCAAATTACTTCGTTTTATAAATAAAATGAAATTGCAACATATCATCAAGTTTAAAATTGATGGTCTATAAATATCATGTTATTATAGACGTTTCACAACCATTAATTATGAAATGAAGACTTTCTTTGACTATATGAAACGAAGATGATTTGAAATGGATGGTCCAAATCTACTATATTATTACGTGGATAACATGGAAATAATCATTTTATGATCAATAATTAAAAATAAGTCATATCAGCACATCTCTATTTTAAATTTAAAATCACAAAAAGAAATTTACAAACTTAAATTAACATAACACTTATAGACCATTAATTTCAAATTTTTATTGATGCATTGTAATATTATGAATTATAATAGAGATTTTCATTTTAACCATACAATAGAGAGATCAAAATCTAAAATTTAACACCACATTATAAGTTAGTTATATATTTTATGCAATGTATATTAAACACAATGAAAAATGACTTGGACCCCGTCACCCATGATTGGGCAAAAAAAATAATTTTTTTTTTTTAAGTTCCCGGCCAATCCCAGGCCGACACGTGGCACTGGGGGTCGGTGGGGGTAGTCCGTACTGGGGTCTGTAGCATTGTTGTAAACACAATATTTTAAATTTTTTTTTAATATACACCCTTAAAAGATATTAAAAAGACTTGCAAAATATTATAATTTTTTTTTGGTTAAGATAGTTCTTAATATGATTTTGAAAAGCATATCATAAAAATAATTTTATTTATTTTATTTTATATAGTGGCTGAGCAAGGTGTCACACTGTGATATGCTTTGCTTTGCTTTGCTTTTGCAGATTGATTAAGCTTTGCAAGTGCGTTACACTGAAAACAGTCTTATTATAGTAATGATCTCTGACCGACCAATCATGTTCTGGCGAGTTATGATTAGGTGCTAACGACTTGGGTTTTCCTTGGCTCCACACCATCTGACAATTGTACCCCCATGATTCGTTATCAGATCCATCAACACAATATCACTCCGAACCCAGCTCCGAACCTCTCTCCCCATCTAATCAACTACGACTCACGACTCACTCAACATCTGCAATGACGAAGTCAACACCCAATAAAAATTAGCCACGAAGACAAAACGCAGACTATGGCCCATTTTGAAAAAAAAAAGATCAGATATTTTTCTGAATTTTTTTTGTCTCTATTAATTTTTTTTTTTCAAAATTATATCAAAATTTTATATTTTTTTGATCTATTTTGTAGAGATGAATCTAAATGTATTTTTTTTTTAAAAAAACATTACAAAAAAATTGCTAAAAATGAAAACAAGACAAAAAGGATTACTTATTTTGATTTATTTTTATATTTTTTTGAATTTAAAAAGATTATAATTTTTAAATTTATCTTGTCGAATTGAATCTAAAATCTAAAGAAGCGTTTGGTAGAATTTTCTAAATATGATTTGATAATAGAGTTGTATTTTGAGTTTGTAAGACCATCTCCAACGGTTCATCAAACTTGGTATCAAATTCAAAATTTGATGAAAAATCCATTTTTTTGAGCTCCAACCGTTGCACCAGATTGATATCAAAATGAAATTTCAGCAAAAAAAGCATCAAACTGAGAACGAGACACAGATTTTACCAAATCACTGTTACTGACCGTTTGAAAGAGGTACACCGGTCAACTAGCCGGTTGCCCGGCCGGTTGACCACCCGGTCAACCAGTAAAGATTCAAACCGTTCAGTTCAAACCGTTTAAAAAAAAAAAATAAAAATTGCCTAACCGGTCAACCGGCCGATCGACCACCCCGGTCGTCCCGAAAAAAGTTCAGAAAGTTCAAAAAAAGTTCAGACAATTCGCGGAAAAAAAAAAAAAAAATTTTTGCCTAACCGGTCAACCGGCCGGTCGACCACCCGGTTGTCCCGGGATAGATTTGGTGAAAGGTGAACCGTGGGAGTGAGTGGTATCAAATTGGGTGAAATGGGTCATTTTTTATTTAGATTTAGTGAAAAATTTGAGTCACCGTTGGAGATGCTCTAAGTTTTGAAATTATGATTTGAGTAAGGAAAATTTGTTTGATTATGAGTTTTGAATCGAATTTTGGAAGGAGTTTTGAGTTTTTGAAATGAGGAAAAATTATTTGATTAAAAAATTTACAACTCATAATCAAACACACAACTTAAAATTATACTCAAAGCTCATATAAAAATTTTAAAAAATTTAAAAATATTTTCTATTTACAATATAAAAATAACAGGTGCCCAAGAAAAAGAAAAAAATCGAACATTGTTTCGATCAATCGGCCAGTCGTCCGGAAAGATTTCCGGGAAGACGACCTGGTTAGCCAAATTTTTTCGCCTAAAAAGGAGTTTTCAAAAGTAAGTTTCAAATTATAATTTAAAAATTTAAAACAAACACTACACTCAAATAAATGGGTAAACATATGTTTGGAATACATAACCAAACACAACCTAAATTTTTAAAATAAATTCACTAAAAACAAAAGTAAACAAAAAAACAAAAAGGGCCAAAAAAAAAAAAAAAAACAACACTTCCCAAAACATGCCATAGTATTCAGGAGCACCTGAATATTCCTACTCTCTCCGTTGTTGCTAGCGTGCGCAGGGGAGCATCGGCGCACGCTAAAAAAAGGTAAAACTAGAGGGAGGTGAGGTGCTCATCATAGCCACCATTGTAGGGAGCTCGCAGGTCGGACTGTGAACCATTCGATCAAGCTTGTCTCCTGTCATTCGGTAAATTCACAATCACAGCTCTCTCTCTCTCTAGATCTTCATCTTCTTCCATGTTCGATCTCTCTCCTTATTTTCTCTCTCTTCACTCTTGATCCGGTATTTTCTTCTGTTAATTTCACTCTCTCTTTCTCATCTTCTTTTGTGTGTTATGTTTTGTTCTTTTAGTTGTTTCTGATATTGATGTATATTGTTGTTGTTGCTGCTTCATTATGAACAGAGAAACATAAATTATACATTTTTAGGGTTTTCGGATCGATTCTTCAATGGCTGCTCCACCTGCAAGGGCTAGAGCCGATTACGATTACCTCATAAAGCTCCTCCTGATCGGCGATAGCGGTACGTGATTCGCATTTCTCAATTTTGAGCAAGTTTTTAATATTTGAAATGTTTATTTCTTATTAAATGTCTTTGTTTATGTGGATCGTCTTCCTGAATTTGAAGGTAGATTGCTCGAGATTTGATGGAAGTTGATTTTTTGATGGATCTAGTTGGGTTTAGATTCTTTGGACCTAATTTCTTACCTTCATAGGGCAAAGAATGTTTGAGGCATTTGTGATGAATTCTCAATCTGGGGAAAAAAACAAAAATTACTTGCTTATGTATGGAACGTTTTTTTGCTTTGTAATGATGATATGATTTGAAAATTAAAGATTAATTTTGAAATGCCTTTACTTTACGAAATGGGGAAATATGACATCTAGGAATGGCCTTATTTTTTTTTTCTTTCTAGAACTATGTCATGATTTGATTTTGTTTTATTTTTTGGGTGGGTGCGTGTTACACACAATCAACTTGTTTTATTTCTACGTTATGGTGACATCCTTAAAAGTTTCTTATTTTTCCTCTACTTTTGGAATTGTCATGTTGTAATGTCTACATTTGTTTTGGGATAAATTATTTGTTAGTATCATGTGTTTTGGTTGTCTATCAACGAATTTATTAAACTTGTGGTTGCAACGAGTGTTGTTTTTGTTTCTTAAGTAGCAAGTTCTTTGATAGGGATGGAAACTTAACCAGGTATATGGGATTGCCACTTTTCTCTGCTCCTATTAGGAATATCTTAATCAAATTAAGGATGAGTTTTGATAGGGATATTATAAACCGACTTGGGTTTGGGGTGGGGTCGAGTATATTAAGCCCTGCCTTGATCCATTTACAGAGCTAAAATTTTTATATGGGATATAAGGTCTATGATCTGTATTTTCATCACTGCCAAAGAGCTCCCTGCAAGACTTTATCATTACATTAGACATTGTAGCTGATGAGCTCCCTGCAAGACTTTATCATTACATTAGACATTGTAGCTGATGACATCTTCAAGGAACTTATTACCTGTTCCGTTGAGGTCTGTGATTGTTTGGGTTTGTTTTTAATCTTTTTTTATTAATTATTTCTTTTATTTCAAGCACTGGCTTTGTTGTGTAGATTGATTTGACTTGTGATTTCTTTCTCCCCCTCCCCCTCTTTCTTTCTTTTTTCTTTCTTTGAAAAGCTCTTTGTTGGTGATTTGAGATTGGTTATTCATGGACAAAGGTTCAAGCCCTCTTGTGCAAGAGTCAAAGGGGAATACTTTTTTTGATTTTTCATTGTGCCAAAAGGGGTGGAGTGTTGGCATACTAGTTGGGATGAATCCCTTCCGGTGGCAAGGTGAGGTGAGTTTTTGTTAGCAGGGGCATGGGTGAGGATAGGGGATCATGGCCCAAACCCACCGTTGCTGTCCCTATTCTTTAATTGCTTTTCTTGGATGTGGGTGACAGTTGTTACTAGAAAATACTAATACCCAACGATTTACATTTTGGAATGTACGTTCCGTAACATGGTATCTTAAAAGTTACTTTAGGAGGAAAAAATCCATATTCCTTGATTGTAGATAGATAGAGAGATGTTATAAATCTATTTGGTTGTGGCAATTGCAATTGGATGTGGATATGTGTGCTTCTTTATTACTTTTCTTTGGAGCACTTCCTGTCATCCTTAGCCTTTTAATTGCATATCTCAATGAGGATTACATTGCTAGTATTTTGTCATCTTTTATTATGCATTTATTCCTTGATTGTATGTTTTTGGATCTGAATTTTGTTCATGTTAAATTGAAGGTCAGTTGTTGCACGTATGAGTAGTAAATTTTCAGTTAATAAAGTTTGTTTGCATGGGTTGCAAAATTTGCTTTGCCAGTGTGGTCATGTCTTTTTCTCCACACATTGGCAGCATTGTAGCTGCAAAAACAAGGTCAATTGTTTGATTATGGTGAGCTAGGAACTTTCATGTTTGATATAGTTTTCAAAATTTTTCATTTTCGTTTTCTTATTTTCGGAAACAAAAACCATGAAAAGTGTAGAAACACCCCTTGTTTTCATTTTTTTTTTGTTGGTGAAATCGATTTTTGAAAATTCAGAAAACAGTAATGTGTTTCCTAAAAGGGGATGTTTTCAGAATTTTTTTTAAAGACAGTTTTAAGAAACAGATTGCCAAACAAATTTCCTTTTTGTTCTTTTTTTGGAGAACAGAAAACAGAATAAATCTTCAAAATCCTATCATGTTTTGTAATCAAGGATTATGTATGTTTCATATGGCTAAGATTTGAGCTGCAATGAAACAGAGTCATCAGTTTCACATTAAGCTTTATCACTTATATATACCACTTTCTGTATCTTGTCATGGTAGACTGTTTAATTATGTCATATTCTGTTTGCATCATTTGTCCCTTTTCTTTTTCTCTTTCACATTAGGGCATGTTGTGTCAATTAACTTAAAGAATTCCTTGTGCTGATAAAAAAAATGCTTAAAGAATCCTTGTGGAAGTAGCCAATCAAAAAGAATCCTTGTGGAAGTATGGTTGTCTTTTCCTTTAGCTTTTCTAGATAGATTGGCATTAAGTTTGTCCTGTTTATTTTTGCCATGTGGCATTCCTCCATTCATACAAGCAATGATGTTATGGATTCGATTTAATGTTGGTTTTTGGTTTTTGACAATTGATGGTTAGGAAAATAGTTATTCTTGTAGGCGCCTTATCGCGTCTAAATCATGCATAT